TGTTGACAGAAGACAACGAAAGCTAAGCGATTTTTGCTTTGGGAGGAGGGAATAAAGAGTGGGGAAATTAGCTGAAAAAAATAATGTGAATTTTTTATCAGGTTCTCAGTAAGGGACAGATTGACAGGACCAGTTCAAAGAACAGCGGAGAACTGAGATTATAGTGTGTGTTCCTCTTCCAGATGAGAAATCTAGCTTGTTAGGGGGAAGGCTGGTTATTGACTTCTCCCTGGTAGATTAAAGATTTTATTTGGCATAACGTAGTCACGTATTCAACTAAACCCTTCTTCCCAATATTTTAAGAGCATCGTCCTACAACAGATCTCCAAATTAGAGGCAAAACTCACCTTTGCTGCTCTTTTAAAATCTCACTGTATCACTATGAGCCGGTTCAGAGGCTTCGTTTATGAAGAAATGGTGATTTATCCTAACCTCTGATCAACATTATTTCATCATCTGATTGGGGCAGGTGAGGAATAAGGGGGATGGGGTGGGGGGTCGTCCGATTTAGGACTTGGCTTAATAAATGCAGATTTGGGAAGGGTTTTTCAATCAAATGCTCAAGAGACCTCACCTGAAAATGGGGACACTGTTGCAGCTCCCCCATTATCCTGCTCTCTCAATCCATTTCCATTCAAGAAGCTGGAAATGGCTGCCAATTTAATTCCTTATTTCGTTTTTATTATTAAATTTATGACACCCACCTCACTGCTCTGACTCTGGCTGACCGATAAGAACAGATAATGGGGAATTTCCATCAAAGGATGGTGAAGAACCACGAGATGCCTGAAGTGGGTTTGAAGGATAACTATTCCGTATCCGGGGACAATGTTGGCTTGATCAAAAGCACAGCCAGTTGGCTGGCAAAACGGACACCTCTCCGTCATCATTCAGACGTGCTAACTTTGCTTTTTGAAAGGAAAGGAATGGAAAAGACACACACCCAAGCATGCACATAGCTATCCCAAAAATGAACTCTCGCTAGGTTTTTATTGTTAGTTCTAAAATGCAAATTAAAACAAAATCATGACTGGTGCTCCCTCCAATCAAAAGAAGAGAGAACAATATTTGGGAGGACTCCCTCCCCTTCAAAAAGTCTGCCACAAATTTAAGATTGGTGCTAGGAATCTTGAAGAAGGGCCTGTTAATCTTCTACCCCATCTTGTGAGGGATGGCTACTTGGGGGGTGGGGGTGGTCCTAAAAATCAAGATGGCAGCTGTCACTGTCCTTCTGAAGCCCCATCTCTTGCACACATGTGATACAAGTAAAAAAAAGGGGGTACGGGGTAGAATTTGGATCACAGTCACCGACACCATCTTGATTTTTTTGATCTCTCTCCTTCAGCAACATGCCTGCCTATAGTCCTCCTTTGGGTATGCATTTCCCATCAGCCATCACTGATACACTTTGGCTCAAACACTCAACCAGGCTCCATTGCTTCTGGGATTTAAAGATTGGGTTGAGTTGCATTGAGTTGGGTTGGGTTGGATTGAGTCACAATAGGTTGGGTTGAGTTTCATTGGGTAGTTTACATTGAGTTGGTTAGAATTGCATTGTGTTGGGTTGAATTGAACTGGGTTGGGTTGAATTGCATTGGGTTGGATTGAGTTGCGTTGGGTAGAGTTCCATTGGGTTTGGTAGAGTTGTGTTGGGTTGAATTGCATTGGGTTGGGTAGAGTTGGGTTGGATTGAGTTGCGTTGGGTTGGGTAGAGTTCCATTGGGTTTGGTAGAGTTGTGTTGGGTTGAATTGTATTGGGTTGGGTTGACTTGGGTTGGATTGGGTAGAGTTGCATTGAATTAGGTTGGCTGAGGTGTATTGGGCTGGGCTGAGCTGCATTAGGTTGGATTAGGTTGACTTCTGTTGGGCTGGATTGAGTTGGGTTGAATTGGGGAATAGATGCCCGTTTTTTACTTTCCCAGTCTCAACAATGATCAGGTCAATGCACTAAAAAAATCAGGAGCTAGCTTCTTTTGCAGGAAAGTTGTAAGCTGAGGAGACAACATAACCACATTGGCAAAATATTTTCACAACAAGGGCAGATGTCTTGCCCAAGTACCCTTTAGTAAACCAACCCCCCCCCCCCAAAAAAAACCACTTTGCTCTTGGAACATCCCAATCCATC